TTAGTGCTTTGTCCCTAGGCTTAATGTTACTAAACATTTTTCAACAGTTCATTTCTCTGCCATTTTTTCTGCCTGTTTTTTTCTCATCTCTATACAGATGTTCCAATTTTTAAAAAGTACTGCATTTAATTTCCATCAAGTCTATTCAATACAAGACCTGCATAATGGCCTTGTATTTTTTTTTAATTTAAATTTTTGCAATAGACTTTTTTTTCCCCCCTATAATCTTCCGATAGCATTAGCAATCTGACTAATTTTTTAATCTCACTTATTTCCCTAGTTCCTCTGTTATGTTTGGCACTGTGTGGACAGGGAAGGTGCGGAGTTTAGATCTGTGTTCCAGGGGCACTGGAAATAGGTTTCTGAGACACTGTGGTGTCATGGTGTGGCACTGCTTTTCTTACATCTCCATCATCAAGATGCTACTGAATGCTTTCTAGAAGTTTGCACTTTGCTGTCATTTAAATCTGCTTATTGGTTGTCCTGAATGCTGTGTGTCTGTAGAGTCTTCCGAAAGATTGTGGATTAGAAATGATGTTGTTGTTGTGCCTTTTGAATATCAAGAAGTGCAAAAAAAGTGTTTCCATTTGTGTTTAAATGAATTGAATTGTTTCCTTTTTTCAGGGCAAATACCTTCTGACTTTAAAAGTTATATAATATTCTGCCAAATGGTCATATATCTTGTGTACAATTATTTATTGGTTATAACTCCAAAGGCTCACCCGGAGCAATCCCTAATAAGTCAGTTCATATAAAACTGGCATTTGCAGTTTTCCTAAAACCTTCTAAGCAAGAAAATCCCCAAACAAAACGACAACAACAAAAGAATATTAGGAGCATTTAAGTTACCTTTAGTTCCCTAGCTCTGATAATTTAAAAACACAGCCAAGCCCTACCTGAAACTCAGGATGCTACAAGCAGTGGACATTAGAGGATAGGTCCCTCTTCTTCATCCTTGGCCGTTGCTGGGAAGGGGTGTGTGGTGGAGGTGGCCTGTGTGACGTGGACGGGTGTTTCACTGGAAGGCAGGGACTGCCTCGAGTCGTGGGGTGTATTTTGCCTGTGGCTGCGGAGCCCTCGTTCCCCTGCTGCGCCTGCCGACAGGGTGTGCGTCCTTTCGCAGGGATGGGGAATCCTCTCCTCTAGAACATGCAGGAATGACCTCCAGGAGCTTCTAGCCTCTAGAAAAAAAAAAAGAATATTAAATATATATATATATATATATATTTCTCACCTGAGGTTAAAGAGCTACAGGGGATAGAAAAATGCTCACGTGTTCTCTCCAAAGTTTCCTGACTGTTGCTAAAAGGGGAAGGTGGTCAGAGGACCCTCTCACATTGACCTATCCCCTTTTTTCGTGCAATTGGAGAGGCAGAGAATGAACGCCTTGATTTAACAGCAGTCTGTATATTTGTATATATATTTTTGCAGGAGTGTTAAATACTGCTGGAAAGCATAGTTTGAAACCAATAGAGGTTATTTCTATAAGATTTCTTCCCTGTTATATAGTATATAATCCTAGTTTCCTCTCCAGTGAGTGTGATTGGGAATTTTAGAGGGGAATGAAACTTAGTCTTAGAGGAAAGAAATTCCTATGTATGGATCTTAAGGGCAGAGGAGGCCTTTTGTATCTCAATGTGTGTGTAGCTTTTCCCTGGTGTGGATGCTGGGGCCCCATTGTTACCAAAGGAGTACTAATAATTACCTCGAGTGCTCTCCTTGCACGCTGAGAGGCAGTTCTGAGGGCTGCTGAGAAAAACCTCTCTCAGAAAATGGATGTGATTCAGGTCTCAGCGGTGGGAGGGCTTTGCCTGCAGAGTCCACGTTCGCCTTTCACTCCTCCGGGCTGGTGTGCTGGGATCCCCCACCTTGCAGCAGCTCTTCAGAGCCAGCAGCTCAGGAGCCGGAGGAGGATGAAAGGGGGAGTCAATGCATTGAGATGTTCTTCATGGATCCCTGGTGGAAAAGCACGCAGAACTCCACAGAAACAGAGCTGGAAGCAGCCTAGCCAAGTAACAATTCAGTTATAAAGTGGGAGTCCGTTTCAGGCAGTTTACTGTGGCTGAGTTTTCTCTTTTAGAAGGGCCGGGAGTCCTCTGAGGTCGACTCTGCAAGGAGCTCTTTAATATCATATCCAGATGCGTTTTGGATCGGGTTCAGAGCTCAGCACAGCAAGGTCATTTGGGGAGTTCTGAAGACCATCTGCGTTGTATCCGCAGCAAGCCGAGCTTTGCCGTGCTGGTGACACAGGGTCATTCTACCTGTCATGATGCATAGGACTAAATTTGACAGGTTTAGTGTCAGACTTACTGTGTCCTATCTTCCTGCCATCTTTCAAAGCATAGGCATTGCCATTTAGGTATCAATTTCCTTTATCTTCTCTGTAACTTCATAAGCATCTCATCAATGCAGATTATTCTGAGATTGCAAAATCCTTTCCTTTTGAATGTGAGAATCACGCTGAATTTGACCTTTTGTTAGGAAATCTTAGGCTTTCTCTTGGCAGCTTTCTATACATGTGTAACTCCTGCCCAACAACAGCACTTGAATTACTGGAAAGAATAGACAGCTGACTGACAAGTTCTCACTTACTTTTGCTTTCCATGCCTAATGTGTTCATCTTTCTTTCTACATTTCACTGAAAAAGTGCAGTTTATTTGAAAGAGTTAAAATTTTGAGTCAGCATTACAAGTCTATGTGTGTAAACTAGTCATTACAATTTTAATGTCTCATATGCAATCAAATTTTTTCAAACCTATCATAACTCAAACCATTTATATCTTAGAGAGCTCCTTTTTTTTTTTTTTTTTAAGAGAAAAAGGTAAAGAAAAGGAGGAGGAAAAATGGAAGCATTGAATCCAGAAACACAACAATCTGATGTTAAACCTTTAGATGTTCTGCTGATACAATGAAATCCAGTTAATATTTGGACAAGCACTAGTGTTGAAAATTCATTTGATGAGGGAGAGAAATTAGGCATGGCTTTGCAACATGCTGTATGGACCAAAACTTGCTATGAACTCTAAATAGATGTGGCTGTATTTTTTTTTTAATAAAACAGTTTTTCAGTAGAAAATGCTAATACTTTGAAGAAGAGGTATTTTTATAGGAAAGTGCTAAGTTAGAGAGAAATTCTTGTGGAAATAAAACCCCACATACCTAAGGTGGTTACTCTTACACGATGCTTATGGTACAACTGGGGTATGAAAAATTATCATTGGTCTTTGGCCTGGTTTCCTCTCGCAATCCTCGCTCCTAAGTAAATACTGAGTCTTCTCCTGATGGACCTGACTCAGACCGTGTCAATTATTTACTGGAATGGGAATTCAAAGCTGGGTCTTCTACATATGGTGTGAGTGGCCTAACCCTGAGGCTGTGCTCAGCCCCTCTGCCTCTTTATTTGTTTATGAAAACTGGAGCAACTCCTGCAAGAGGAAAAGGAGAGATCCTTGTGTCCACAGTAGCCTGGGAAATCGTCTGAAATATGTAAGAAGTTGTAGGGTGGTGGGGATGACAGCTAAGAACCTCAACTTGAGTCCTCTTTACTGGCTCTTTTCCATGGACAGAACGTCATCTAAAGCATTTATTCTTGTTTCAGTTGAGGTGGAAGCTTTCTTTTATAACTGGATTCAAAATTGGGAATGAATCCAATACCAAAGGTTTTATCACATCGAACGTTGTCTGTCTGAGGAAGAACATCAAAATGCAGGAGTGCCTCCAGCACTGTTGTTTTCTTCCTCTTCTCGATATACAGAAGATTTGTAGGTTTTTATAAAAGTGACAACTGAATATATTCTCCCCGTGTCCATTGTAGAATACTGTCTGCTCTCCCGACCTCCAGTTTTGAGCAGAGGATGGAGTTCCTTTCATGTTTTCTCACCAGCTTTGCCTATGTGTTTTCCTTGTGTTTTCCATTTTTCCTAGATAAATTGGGTCATAAATTGGAATTTTGCATGAAACTGAACTTTATTTTCAGTCCTGAAATGGTCATGGAAGATGCTTTCCCTGAGTCTTGATGTGATAGTGTGGATGTAAAGTTTTTTTTTTTTCTTTTCCTCAGTCCAACATCAGGTGATAATGGAAAACTTTCCCCTCCACCACCTTCTTGCTAGCAATCCACAGGTTGGTTCTTGATAGGAAAAATAATGCTCTCAGGGCTACCATATCTTCCCTGTGTACACCACAGGTTATCTCTGGCTTTGGGTTTTTGTTTATTTTTAAACCCAGGCCAAGTCAAACTCTGTGGTTTAGCAACAATGTGTATTGTATGTGTAGGGATAATACAAGAGAAATTATATATTGGAATTCCCTCCTTAGTAGTATTATCATCTTCCACAGTTTTTCTGCTCTGTCTTGTTTCCCTTCACTGCCATTTTCTACAATCTCTACATGTAAATTATCCAGGAACTGTTTTTTAAAGAACTTTCAAAGGAGTCCAGGTTACCTGGAGCATAGGCTATATATCTGAAAATATAATGTTATTATTCTAGGGTTCTAGCATAATATTGCTATATTGAATATGTGGAAGCTGTTGGAAATGGCTGTTTTGTGACGTACCATGTAGTGTTTGTTACTCTGGGACTATAAAACTTGATTTGCTTGTCAGCCTGAGCAGACCTAGTACACAGTAAACAACCTGCATAGTAAATCACAGTGCCATGCACTCACCCCAGAAGTCATTTTCAAACAAAATATATATGGTATTCAGTCAGGAGACTATGTGCTTAATGTCCTCATTATAAATCACAAGTCAGAATCACAGAAGAGTGATTAGTCAACTTGCAGGTGTTTTTCCATTTATATTGCTCTGTAAAAGTAAATAGCAATTTTTCATTCCTTTTCAGTGTTGATCTATTGACTTGGGATTTGCCAAGAGCCCTTCACTTTGCATTTTGTTGCTACGTCCAGACTGCCACTTGCGGTCCTACACAACACGAAACCAAACTAAGACTTCCCTTTTCCCTCTCCTCCCGCCTCCCCCGTTCCTCTTCCTTCCACAGAACATCTCCATGCACAACACAGTTGGCGGCGCCATGGCCGGCGCCGGCGCTCACCAGCTGCCCGGCGCGAGGATGCCGAACCATGACACCAGCGTGGTGATCCAGCAGGCCATGCCCTCGCCGCAGTCCAGCTCCGTCATTACACAAGCACCTTCCACAAACCGGCAGATTGGGTAAGGCCTTCGTTTCATTTCTCCCCGTTTCTAGCTCCAGCAGAACTACATGTGCTCCTCTTGGGTTTTCAAGTCATGGAATAACTTGATCTTGTCACCATGCGGCAGGGATCCCTGTCATTCAAGCTGCACTTTTGGGGGAAAATGGCCAGGATATGAGAGCTGCTCCAGACCTGTCGCTATGGTTGAGCAGGGGCAGAGTTTCGTGCTTGCAGGACACTGCAGTGCTTTCCCTTGCAGTGCTTTGTTTTTATCTGCTTACATTCAAAGTTCATGTTGTTTCTAAAGCTGTTCTGGGAAGAAAGACCCACTATTTTTGGATGTGATGCTTTCACTATTTTTTCAGTGGGAATTTGGACCTCTCGGTAAGCTTAGCCTGTTTCTTAGGTACTCTACATCTGAGAAATGCTTGAAGGCAAAATAAGAAGACTATCTAGATAATGGAGTTTGGCACGGATACGTCTGAGAACAATTGCTCAATTTGTGATGATGGATCCATGTTTATTCCCACAAGTTGACAGTGTGGATGCTTGTTGTATTGGCTTAACTGCCAGTTGTATGTATGCTCATATTTGGAGAACTGCACGAAAGCATATGGGCTCCTTGAAGCCAACATGAGGTCCTCATAAGTCACAATAACTTGTTTTTAATTATACAGAAACTGCCCAGATGGTTTGAGGGTACAACTTTTTGTGCCATAGCTCTGAGAATTTGAGGGTTTTTATGGATGAAAACATATGGATAAAACTTTAACCAGTGGACAGAGAATGAAATAGCAGTTTTGACTGATTATCTCTTATTTGTAATTTGGTCACATCCATTATATGATAAGTACAAAAGCAATCTCCATCCCTAGTCACTGTGTAAATAATTGATAAGCAACTTGCAGTTTCTTCCGAGTAAAACTGGAAAGTGAAGTCCTGGCACAGAAACCTCAAAATCCAGTTACTGCGGAGTTTTCTTCCAGGGTTCTTGGTGGCTGGGGCAGAGCACAGAGCTCAGCTCTCCAAGTGCCCTGGATGGCCAGGGTGCCCTAGGGCTCAGACCGCTCCACAGCTACATGCAAAACAAGAACTCTGTCCCTTAAACCTGTTTTGTGCTCCCAAAAAAGCTTTTTTACAACTTTTAAAGTTGCCTTCTTACATATATCCCCTTCTCTTTGAAGACAGAGACTCAGGGGGACGGGGAGGAAGAAACTATTTTTCAGTTGTAAAAAACGAAGCAGTTAATGTCATTATTTAGGCTAAGGGTGATTAAACTGCCTGTTCAAATTGTGGCTTAATAGGTCTAGAGGTAATTATGATTCTAATTGAAAACTACTCCCCAAACAACTTTTAATAATCAGCGGTGAGGTGTTTTATTTGGGACTGTACTTGGCTTCCAAACAATTGTTTCTATATAATGAGGAAAAACTGCATGTGGTTTTGCAAAACCCTGTCAGTCAGGTTTTAGGTTTGTGTTGGTCCAAGGCCATGATGATTAGAATCTCCCAAGTTAGAGGGATTTGGGATAAAAAGGCTGATTTCCTACTCAGGGGTGAGCCGCTCATTTGGGAAACTGTGTCAAGACAGATCTTAATTCTCCCATGTGACTGATTCACACAAATGTCTCCTAAGTCTGAGTCTAAAGTGGCTCTCTTGGGAGGCAATTGTCAGCACTTTAGCCTCCGTGTGAGCTGGGGTGTGAATGAGGCTTGTATTGTGACCTCCTCTGCTCCCCATTCTTCCCTCTGCCTAGGAAGTTTTCCTTTTTTTTTTCCCGTGGTGTGTCCTAGGAGATAATTGCTGCATTTTGGACTCTATCTACTCGCCAAAGAGCTGAGCATCCTGTTGTTTGCCTCCTTTTCCTGCAGTCTTTGCCTTGTTTATTTATTCAAAGAGCATATCTTGTCGTTTCCATTTATCTTCTTTTTATCCTTCTAAATGTGCTCAGAATGATGTCCAAGCATCATTCCTGAGGGATACAGACTGCAGCACGGTCTCAATATTAGGTGATGGAAGATAATACCAGATGGGTTATATCCAGAAGATTCAGAGCATGTTTACAAGATCTACAAAGTTTAGTGGTTTTGGTCTGGCCTTACAAAGCTGTGAAAGTTCAGCTTTTTAATTAGCCCAGATTCTGAGGTGCTCAAATCAGTGGTTTGAGGTTGGGCTCCACCTGTTTTTAAAACATCTGAAGTTGCCCCAAAGGGTACCCGAGGCCTTCGCATGGAAAGCTGTGCCAGAGAACACGCATTTTAGTGAGCAGCAAAAACAGCAGAGACTGAAATGGGTGAAACTCTCGCTGAGCTCCGCAGCAGCAGGATCAAGCCCTAAAGGTTAGAAGGAACCATCTTGTAGGAATATTCTGATTTTTATCGCAACCACAAATATTTTAGTGTCAGGCTATGGCCAAGCCACCTGCGAATGCTTGTGATGGCCTTTCTCCAAGGAAAACAAGAGAGCAGCCCTGAACGTCTCCGCTCAGACCCTGCTCGTAGGCAGCACTCCTGCGAGCGGGACCCACTGGGGCCTGCGCACGCCTCGTTTCGTGGTGAGGGACAGGCGGGTTCGCAGCAGGTGACATACCAATTTCCCCTCTTTTCTTCTCTTTTTCTCTCTCTTTCCTCCTTCTGTCTCTCTCCTTTTTTTTTTTTTCCCTATCCCCCTGGCTCTAGAGGCTTGTAAATACAATGAAATATTGACACAAGGCATGGGAAAACATGGCAGAATGAGCGTTGTGGGGCAAGCCTTACTGGCACAGCACATACAAACACGTTGTTTCAGGTATTAACCTCCAGCTACCACTGAACAGGCATCCAAACAGATTAATCAGAAAAAAAAGAAGAGCACAAAGGGTAGTTACTTTAAAAATAAGATGGGGTGCAGCCCTGGTCCTGGTCGAGGACGAAGAGCAATGTTATTATCCGAGCAAGCTGGCAGGTTGCTACAGAGGCTGCAGGTAGTGTTCGTGTGGCGAGGGTGCCTCCAGCCCCCTTGCCCCCCGCTGCCCCCCAGGCCTTCAGCATGTGGGAGGAAAGCTCTAACTGGTAACTAAAGGAAAAGTCAGCTGAGGAACACTTAACAGTGAAAGGTGTCTGTGGCTGATTAATGGCACATGGTTTGGAGATAAGCAACATGGAAGAAAAGCGGTAAGGCATATGGAGGAAGAGGAGGAAAAATGATATAAGACATACATTTGTCAAAGATATGGAAGGGTAGATAGGCTGCATCAGCTCAAGGCATAGGGCTCGGACTTAGGGTGTACAATAGCTGCTTTTGTCTCCTCTTTTTTTTTTACTAACTCCTTTTTTTTTTTTTTTTTTCACCAAGTATTCAGCAATGAATGTGAAAATTATGGTCAGACAAATTAGTGTCAACACATGACAGTGGCTGCTTTATCTGGGCATGTCTTTGCTTGGGTAAGATGTCTTTTTTTAGGCCAGCAAAGAGTCCTTAGGTGGCTGCAGCTTGGTCCTCCCGGTGGAAGTAAACTGCTGCTGTTTTTAGAGCTAGTAACAGACATAACAACTAGCAGTTATTCCAGTGTGAAACTCGCTGGTACTGCTCTGTATCTGAGAGGGAACACAAAAGATTCAGGTTGTCACAGATCCAGCAACTTCTTAATACCTCACTAGATAGAGAAAGAGATGTGAGTCCACTTTGAGTGAACTCAGACTCCAAAGTGGACATACAACACTAGCCATGTGATATAGATCATCTGCTTTCAAAGTGTGGTCGAGAATTTTAATCAAGATAAGATGGTCTTCTGGCACAGCATCAGAAGGAAAAAGATTGCAACCACATTTGGTGAAATGCAAGCAGGTAGAAGATGGCAATGAGAGGAGTTTGAAAGATGGCTCTGGTGCCTTTATTTACAGATGAATCCTAGTACCACTGGGAGGGCAGCCTTTCAGTCTCTATATGCAGCACTGATTTTAACACCTATGCAGTTCCTTTCAGTTCATCCCTTTTCCCTCTCCTGCTGTCATACATCTCTCTTTCCAGCTTATCGTCTTTTCCTGGGATCAGATGCTATCCAAAGTGAGGGGCATGTGAAACGGAATGGTTATGAAAACCGCATGTAGTGGGTTCAGGGAGACAATGAAGAGCAGACTCCTTATTTGGAGCCCTTATTTTCATTTGGAAAATGAAAATAATTTCTCTCTGAGAGACCTGAGGTGGCAGAAGGACATGGCTCCTATCTGACAAACACAGGATTTTCACAGGACCAACAAGCTACCTGAGCAGTGCAGCTACTGCTTGGGTTAGTAAAGGCTTTGGCTGCTGTCTTTCACTGCTCAAGGAGACAGGGAAGTCTTCTGTAAACTTCAGATGCAGGAATCCTTCCCTAATGCACCTCGTTCTGAAAGGTGCTGGAATAAACTGGTAACTCCCTCAGAGCTTTGTATGTCTCTACAGGTCTTTCTTGAAGTTCCCAGAAAACTGGAGGAGTGTGTGTCAAGGGAATTATAGGCCTTTATTATATTTAAAGACTGGTTCCCTTCCTAGGAAACCTGGGAGAACAGCCTTTGTTCTAACTCATCTATTTGAGCTGTAGTGCTGCAGAATGGTGTGAGATGAGGAGACAAGAAACATTCACTGAGAGATGTCAACTGACTCCTTTGTCACTTTATCAGGTCCATGCCCCAGCTTTTATTGTGCAGAGTTTAAGAATATGTATTAGATCAGCAGCAGGGGAGGAAAAGGGAGAGATGGGAAGGGAAAACATCTGACAATTATTTATGTCATTGTCATATGACATTAGCTATGTCATTGTCAGATGTCATATGTCAAATCTGCCCAATTATTTTTCTTCTATCTTTATACTCAAAGTTTTAGCTTTATTCACTGTTTAATGTGACTGCTTTTTGACATGTTTTCTGTAGTTTGTTCTACCAGACTGACTTCAGCCAACCTTAACGTGGAATCACATCAAGCCACGTGAGAACAGTAGCCACCAGCTCAGGTGGATTGCTCAGGAAATTACTGTGAACGGACCATTCCCAGAACCAAATT